TGGGTTTATTCCATGAGTTTATGAGTTTATTCCTAAGTATTAGATATGTTTTGCAATTATAAATTGCAGGTCTTTTTCTTCATATTTTCCAGCTTGTGGTTTTTGGCATGGAAGGATACTGTATATTTTCATATAATAATTTTATGAGATCACCTTACTGAACTTCTTGTATTTTCTCTCTGATTTTTTTCAGTTGGTTCTCATGGATTTTTCATATGGACAATCAGATTATCTGCAAATAATTATTTTGCCTCTTCATTTTCTAATCCATTTACTTTTAACTTGGTTCAATTAATTGCATTGTCTTTTGTTTCTGAGAAATGCTAATAATGATAAGAGTAGACCTCCTTGTCTTATTTCTGAACTTTTCTGGGACTGTTTCTAGTGTTTTATTATTAACCAAATGCTTATATCTGTTACAGTTAGGCTATGTATATATGTATATGTATGTATCAAGGAAGTATTAGTATCCTAATAAAAGTCAGTATCCCTTTATTCCTATACAGTCAGAACTTTTTAAAAATAAACTCAGTAGTGATTGTTTAAAAAGATATTTTAGCGCAGTGCCTGGGTGACTCAGTTGGTTAAGCGACTGCCTTTGCTCATGTGGTGCTGCCAGGATCCTGGGATCAAGTCCTGCTTCCGGCTCCCCGCTTAGTGGGGAGTCCGCTTCTTTTTCCCTCTGCCCCTCTCAGAGCCCTGCTCATGCTCTATCTTACACACACACTCTCTCTCTCTCAGATAAATAAATAAATCTTTAAAAATATTGAAAAAAGGATATTTTAGCTTTTATTGGGCTAATTATATTATGATTTTATGATTTGTTCCACTTTGATGTTTTAATTCAATGACTTATTTTTCCTAATACTCATCTCTTCTTCTTGGAATTGACCCACTTTGCCATGAATCCTTCTGCTTAATTCTGTTTTCCAATATTTTACTTAGGATTTTTGTTATTTATGCTTGTTTTTGAGTGTGTGGGTGTGGGCATCTTCCCGTCAGGGTTAAATTTGCTTTATAAGAAGTAGCAGAAAACTACTTCCCATATGCACAGGAATTGTTTACATAACATTGGAATTATCTATCATTGAAATTTTGAAGAAATTCGTCCCTAAAACTATTTGGATTGGACATAATGGGAGGTCAGGGGTCACGAATACTTTTGGATGGGTAGAGTAGGCTATTTTCTTAGTATACCTCTCTACACTCCAAACCAGAGATTAAATAAGTACATCAGATAGGCTTTTAGACTCCTTATTTACAGTGCTTTTGCCGACATTGTTAGGCCTCTGATTGTTTCTGGAACCATACAGAAAATGGCTAACATAGCAGGACTGAACTGCTATCTCTAGGAAGCTCTGCTTTCAAGGTTGGCCCTTGACTGGTGTCTAGATGGAAACTTAGAGTTTAGAAGGGTTCCTGCCATCAGGTGATAAGAGTGGCTCACTTAAGCAGTTTGTGCAAACACTATGGTGTATGTTGAACACAACTTTCCTTTTGGGAGTCTGGAATTTGGATACATGCCAGATAGGGGCTACCTATTGGAACAGCATCCATTATAAATAGCCAGGGCTTTGAGTCTCCAACAAGCTTCCTGCTTGGTAACATTTGACATGTTTTGTCACAAGTTGTTGATGGGGGAATGAAGCACGTCACATGTAATTCCACTGGGAGAGGACCCTTGGCAGCTTATGTCAGGTTCTCAGATTTTGCCCCATGTGTTTTTTCAAAACCTTTACTAGTTTAGTTTTGTTTTGTATTCTTTGGCTGTAATAAATTGCAGTCATGAGTCCAATCATATGCTGAGTCTCGAGAGTTCATTTCATAGGTCAAGCCAAAACAGTGATATTAAAAGGCAGTGGCAGAGTTATATAAATTTAAAAAAAGTCAATAACTGTGTCATTACAGGTGTGGAAACAATCTCAGGGAAGTTAGAAAATTTGTCAGAGATCACATATGTTGACAGTGGCAGAATGAGTTTTAAAGCTTAAGAAACAAGTCAATAAACAGTTGCACACCATGAACTTTAAAATTTTTTCCAATTTTGTTTATCAAATTAAAGTTAGAGCTTTAAAAAATTAATTAATTAATTAATTAATGATATGTGTTTCTAAAACATGCTTTTTCTTTTTATTTTTTTAACATCTTAATTTAGTTTTATTTTAAAATTGAATTAAAACATGCTTTTTAAAATACAGGTGGGTGGACCTAAACTATTTGTAGTTAAGCTATGGCATCGGACAAAAATATTTTCAAATATTTTCTGCTTATGATCTGTGGCCTTGGTAATTTTGTGGGCACCATTTGCCTCTTTGCAGTAAGATTCAAAATGGAATCAAATCCTCAATGAATTTTCTCAGTGGATTTTTTTGTGTTTGTATTTGTGCACCAGAGTAAATGTATGTGACTACGGCAGCAGAGTCTAAATCAGTGGCTCCTTTTTAGCCTGCTTGTTAGAATCACTTCAAAAGACTGATTCCATATTCTAGGCCAACCAAGTCACAATTTCTGATGTGCGGTGCAAGCATTTTTTTCTGCCCCCTTCTTAAAGCTCCCCATGTGATTCCAGTGTGTATAGCTCATTGACAGTCACTGCTCTAATTAAAATTATTACTATATGCCAATAAAATTATATTTATTCCATAGTAAGTGGCTGTTTTCTATATCTGGCAAAATTCACTTTATATCTTCAGTTGGAAAAGCATGATTAAAATGTAAATTTAGCGAAATGAAGTTTTATGTATTAAGAAGTACAGATCTGGAGAACCTATTAAGGTAGATATTTATATATATACTATTGATGTTTATTATGTATCATTTGAAGAATCATAAATTTACCTTTCAGCTCGTTAACCAAAAATCAATCTTTTCTCATCAAGAGTCATTTCATCTCACTTATGACCTGGGTAAAAGTATAAGTGATTATTATACCTGGAAATATATTCACTGGGTATGTGCAATGCATTTGTTCAGGCAGGGAAAGAGTCTTTTGTTTAGAGCCATGCACCATCACTGAAATATGGGATAGTGACTTGACAGTTCATTGAAGAGTACTGAGGTTTTGAAGTCAGGCACCAGTAGATTTCAGAATTTCGTGGCTGACACAGGAAATGACCATATTATTTTGGACATCAGTTGGGTAATCCAGCCAGAAACCAAAACAAAAACCAGAAACAGTCTGATCCTTTAGAGTATAGCCAATCTTTGATCATATGTTAGAGTGGGGTTTGGCAAACTATAGTCTTTACAGTCTTTTCAGTCCCTTTTCAGCAAATAGTTTTATTTGCTGTTTTATTGCAACATAGTTTTATTGGAACATAGCCATGCTCATTCATTTACTTATTGTCAATGGCTGTTTTTGGCTCCACTGGTCTAAACAGAGATGGTATAGCCTGTAAAGCCTAAAATATTTATCTTACCCTTTGTAGAAAGTTTGCCAACTTCTTCTGTGTTAGAGTCTTGCATCACGCATTAAATAATTTAATCATGCATTATTTGCTGACACTCCTAAATAGATCCTCTTAAGCTGAGTTTTGATCTTTCATATATAGGTGACTGGAGATGATTTGTTTTTTAAGGCTTCCAAGTGAAAATTGTAGTTGAAGAGGGATTTATCTTGGCCATTAAGGGAGTATGCTGCTACCCCTTTGATGCTCCTATCTAGGGGGCCGGGAGCTTGTCCACTTACCTGGAGTGGGTGTCTTCTTGCCTAACTCATGCTCCATCTCCCTCTGTGTCACAGTCCTTGCTGTTGCTTTCTCTGTTGAGGGTGGACATGGAGTAGCAAGGATTTGGGGAACCAAATCCAAGTAGCAAGGATTTTTTACTGCAGTTTCTGGGGATAAAGAAATGTTTTGTGCTAATAATGGATCTAGATATGGACTTTACAGATTAAGAGTGGTTTAACCTTTAATCCTGGTCCAAGTGGACAGTTCAAGACGGTGTGGAGGTCTAGTGAAGAAGGCACATCTGTCTCAATTCCCCTGGTCTCTGGTGCAGTAGATGGTTAGCATAGAGGGGTAGCTGGCACCCCTCTGAGCGGTCAGCTATGTCTTTACCTGGGGCACTTGAATGCCGGTGAAGACTCTTACCGCTTGCTGGGTTACTTACCCCTGAGAAAACAGAACCTGCAAATACTGGAGAGATTGAAGAATATAAACACTTTTAGCTTTCAAGGGACATAACTCCCCTTTCTAACATAAACGGCTGTTAATCATGTTTCGATTTTTAGTTACATCTGTAGAAAAGCATTGCATACAAAAGCAAAGAAATGCCTGTAAATGAGATTAAATGTAATGATGTAGTGGTAAACACAGGCAGAGCTGTGAGTTTGAATTAGAAGTTACAGTTTAAAGAAAAATATCGGGGTTATTCTTTATTTTCAGGGGGGTAAAGATTTCATTAATAAATGTCAGGCTATTTTTGTGACTCTAAAAGATTGTGTTTTAGAAAATATTTAAGGTATTTTCACACGAAAGCCTCTGAAGGTATTTGGAATCTGATGACTTAGTTTATTCTGCTTATGACTTAGGTCTAGATCTATGCCCAGATGACTCTCCTCCTGAGTATAGTTATACCCAACCTCGTTAAGTAGATCTGTGCTACAGAGGAGTTCCAGTTGTTGGGTTTTTTTTTTCAGATACTGTTTTGTTGACTTAATTCTGGTTGTGAAAATTTGACTTGAGGTACCAAGAAATACGAGACCTGTAATTGGCACGGTTTTCTAGAATATAATGGCTCCAAGTGCTGTTTGTGTTAGAAGAGCTGGCATTTTTGTCTTCCTAGTATGGTAAGACACTGAAGGGATTGGAGTTCATGGAGTCAGGCTGAATTACTTCTGAGAATAAATTGGTTGATAAAGATGGGAGTCATGATGCAATCTCTCTCATGCTATTTGTTTTAAAGTCTTTCAAATTATTGTTTAGCTCTGTTTATGGTATGTGATTTTCTAAGTGTACTTCCCTCCTTCCACTAATTCTTACCCCTTCTTTATATCCTAGATCAACGACTATCACCTGTTCTACAAGATGAGTAACAGCCACCCTCTTCGCCCCTTTACTGCAGTGGGGGAAATTGATCACGTGCACATTTTGTCTGAACATATTGGTGCCTTGCTGATTGGGGAAGAATATGGCGACGTCACATTCGTTGTGGAAAAGAAACGTTTTCCTGCCCACAGGGTAATTTTAGCAGCGAGGTGCCAATATTTTCGGTAAGTGTATATTATTTTTTGAAGATTCAAGTCACTTGTGGAAAACACTGGTATTTTTCTCCTCTATGAAAAATATGTAACAAAGCATAACAATAAATCTTTGAGTTCAACCTCTACAGGAATTCCCTCTTTACAGACTTTTTGTTAGATTTTTTTTTTTTAAATCACCTTTTCCTTCAGGAGCCACCTGAGAATTAGAGGGTGAAAAGCCTTCCCACGCTTGAATGTTCCATATCAACCATTATTTTCAGGGTGTCAGGAATATTTCTCAGCCTGAGTCTTTGCGGCCCTCACCTTTTCCTCACAGCTCATGACTAATGGAACTTAAGCTGATTTACTGGCAATTCGGCTTCTTACTGTATAAGTGGACCGACCTCTGAACTTGCTAATGAACATGTATACCTCTTAGTTTCAGACCACTGAGGCCCAGGACCTATAGGTAACCCAACAGATCTATCTCTGAAATAGGCAGTTTGGCAACCCTGTATTACGCTTGATCTTAGCCAAAAGGCCGAGGAGTGATGGCAACCCCAAATTAAAGGGAATTTAAGTATTTACTGAGATTTAGTTTTATTTATTTATTATTTTTTTGAAATTTAGTTTTAAAACTAAGCAAATATATAACTAAAACTAAGCAGTCTTTATGTGCTGATTTAAAAAAAATAAAATCCTGCTTATACATAGCCCTTGTTTGTCACTCAGACCTCTAACTTCCAGAGTTACGAATGTTAAGCTAAGCTCTAATTACTCTACATTTTACCTGATATTTGTTAAAAGGAAATCATTACTGAATTATTGACTGAGTGATAAATTATCTTTGGTAAATCCATAGCGTCAATATCTAAAAATAATGGATTGACTTGGGAGACTCATACCTAAAACCTGAGATGCCAGTGGCTTAGAGAAAATTACACTTACCTTCTAGTGAAAACTACAGTCAAATTTTCACAACCAGAATTAAGTCAACAAAACAGTATCTGGAGTCACACACATTGTATTGAGGTGAGGCTCTTGGAAATATTTACAATTCAAACTCTTTGAGTATATTTTAAACATTTTTAGAACCTCCCATCTTGCACATATAAAATGCCACAGTAGATGAAGCCAGGAGCATCTTTTGAGAGTTCTCGCTGACCCTCTCCTACACTCCTGCTAGTGGTTAGCTCCACCCAGACAGCCTGCCTTGGTCTGGTCATATTAGTAACCGGTCTTTGTCCTCTGCACACGTTTCCTTTTGTGTTTCTCTTTTCTTACTGGTCCACTCTTTATTGTTAAAGTGTTTTAGTCAGAACTTTTCAGCTTTATGTTTAATATTTGTTAACATTATATACCTTTCCTCTTCCATAAGAATTCAAGACAACGTGTGTGGGTATCTTTTAGACGATCAGTATATTCTCAAAAGAAGCTCACATGCTTTTAGAAATTTGAAGATCATATTGAATGAATGGAATATACTCCCTTACTGAACTTGTTCTTGGTGTCTCTTTGTGTATATTGAACATTTATAGTATATCATGGCTCACTAGGTTCAACTTAGAGTCATTGGTAATGCTATTTTATATTCTCATTGCTGACACGTTCATATACAAAGGAACATTAGGAGAAGCCTCCCTAATTGTTGTCATAGAACCTATCAATTCGCAGATGAGGACGGACTAACTGTCCACGAGGGAATTTTTCACAGGTTGAGAGTTCATATTTAGTGTTCCAAGGAAGCCTCATCAAAACCACTTGTAAAACGTTGAGAATTTAGGAGAATACCATGGCTCATACTGCAGTGGGAGTAAGTCTTGGTGAGATCTCCCTAGGAAAGTATTCTTTAGTCCAGTAATTTTAAGGTCATGGTGGGATACTCTCTGGATTAATGAAAACCTTCAAGGGTGTTTTTAGGCATAGTATAACCCAGTAAAGAAATATGCTCAGAATATTTGTAAATCTTTGCCTGTAGTTTCAACTATTTCCCTGAGGCCATCAAGAATGCCAAGACCTGGAGGAGGGTGGGAGGAATTCCAACAGACATGGAGGGAACCCTTGAAATGGTAGTCCTACTCTGAGAATTTTAGGAGCAAGGGGAGCCTCTTTTTGCACTCTTTTTCTCTTGTTTTCACTTTTGCATATTTTCTTTCTCACTTCAACTCTTCTTCTGTACTCCTCCTTTGTCCTCCTCCTTTCTTTCTTGATGGATTGGAGATTTAATTGGTTCATATTATTTCTCCTACAGTAATAGAGATAGAAATTCAAATTCATTACCTGACTGGGCTATTTGGTTTTCAGTTTTTAGATGAACAGATAAGCAATAATAGGATTTTTTTTAAAATCTGAAAAATACTAAAGGACAGGAAAAAAGAAGTCAAATCACCCATAATCCCATTCCCAATTTTATTTTTAATTTATGAACTAACAAATGGAAGTCCTTCCCTCCCAGCCATTAATCCCATTCCCCAGAGACAACCTCTGTTAACAGTGTAAGATGAATTTCCCCCAATTTTTCTCAATGTAATTAGATACACCTATATATCTATGTGCATACACACATAAATATGTGGTATATACTTTTTCCCATCAACACATCTGGGTCTGCAACTTGACTTACATACTATATCCTGGATATCTTTTGAAGACTGTATACATCGATCTCGTTTATCTCTGTAATAGCTGCACAGAAGTATGTATCAGTTTTTAAAATTCTGTTTCTGTTGATAGACATTTAAGATTTTTTTTCAGTGTTTCCATTGGTTTTTTGTTTTTTTTTTGTTTTTTTTTTTTAAGATTTTATTTACTTGTCAGAGAGAGAACATGTGGACAAGCAGGGGGAGCGGAAGGCAGAGTGAGAAACAGGCTCCCTGCTGAGCAAGGAGCTCAGCTGGGACTGAGTCCCAGCACCCTGGGATCATGACCTAAGCCAAAGGCAGATGTTTAACCCACTGAGCCATCCAGGCATCCCTCCATTGTTTCACTATATATGCTTATACATGTATCTTTACTTTGCTGTATTATTTCCTCTAGAATTGAGTCCTAACAGATTACTGAGTTGAAGGGTATGCCCATTTTAGATTTGAATAGGAATTACTTAAATTACTTTCCCCAAAGGGGTGCCTATTTATAGGCTCAAAGCAGTGCATGAGAAAACCCGTTATTCCATTGCTTTTGTAGTACTGCATAGTTAACAGGATTTTTAATTTCTGCCAGTCTAACGGGAGAATGGCACCTGATTGGGTATAATTGTTTTTATCTGATTATATCTTTTCCTACAGAGTTTTACTTTTTAAAGAGCTTATTGACCTTTAATCTGTTTATATGGATTTCGCTGTTCCTTTCAAAAGAGCGCTTTCACCTTTCTACTTAATGTTTATTACATATTTGAGGTCTCAGGATATTTCATTAGTCCAATTGTTTATAGAATTAATCCAAAATAGTTTATAAATCATTTCTCTTTCTTTAGAGAACTATTTAAAATGATTACTATGCATTTCTTCACCTGAATTTTTGAGTTATTAAACAAATTTATGTTTGCATAATGCTGATAACCGTGATTTCATAATATTGTAGCAAATCTTATCTGAGGTCTTCCTTATGTATTTGTTCTCTGACATGCAGAGCATTACTGTATGGTGGGATGCGAGAATCTCAGCCCGAAGCAGAAATCCCTCTCCAAGACACCACCGCAGAAGCATTCACCATGCTGCTTAAATACATCTACACTGGGCGGGCAACACTGACAGATGAGAAGGAGGAGGTGTTGCTGGACTTTCTGAGCCTGGCTCATAAATATGGATTTCCAGAGCTGGAGGATTCTACCTCTGAGTATCTCTGCACCATACTTAACATTCAGAATGTCTGCATGACTTTTGATGTTGCCAGCCTCTACTCACTTCCCAAGTTAACTTGCATGTGCTGCATGTTTATGGACAGAAATGCTCAGGAGGTGCTCTCCAGTGAAGGCTTCCTCTCCCTTTCTAAGGTGTGTCATCGTCTGCAAGTACTCTGCAGGCACGCATCGCATTATTTAGATCTGTGCAGCCGGAAGAGAGCCATAGACTAAGAATAAAAGATTAGGAACTGTCGGTCTGGAAGAGGTCATCTGTCTAGCCTCCCGCCTCTGGCTACTGAGACTCTCTGTAGATCATATAAGAGAGAGGCAAATTCCTATTTTTCCTTTTTTAAGATTCTTCTGGTAGGTTCTATGCAGGGTGGGTGTTTTCCAAGTGACGCCTGTCAGATAGGTTCCTTTGTGGTGTTGCCTACTATTTTTTGGTTTTGTATCTCTCCAACAGAGAGGTACAACTAATAATTCCTTATTGTGAGAGGGAAGGTTCATAAAGGAGATCTGAGGTGTCCTTGGATGTTTTAAGTCCACTGTTTTTTGTGGGTTTTTTTGCTGGCTCAAAAAAATAGACTGTTTTGCTCAAATCTGTCTCTGAACCCTGGTCTCTCCTTTCCCTTTTTATGTTCCTCCAAGGACCTGAATATTTCAAATGGGACAACATATTTGAAAAGCTACGTATTTTGGCCCATATGTTTTTTACTATCCTACTTAATTTTTTGGAGGCAAGGGTCTTTGAGGGTTGCCCAAGTGTTGCTGGAGGTCAGTCTGGAAATCTGAAAACTAGAACTACAGGAGTGCAGTAATACTGTAGAACACAAGCTTTCGAATTTTAAATGTCAGATCTATCTTACTGGCTTATAAATGTGAGCTCTCCTGGAGAGCCTGCATGGAATGACAGCTCCTCATGTTGCTATTTTTCTTCTTGTTTTATTGAAATAGGTGCAGATGTGTGGGAAAGACTAGACATTTGATGTAGTGGTACAAGATGCCCATGGCTGTTCATGGAGCTGTGATGGGCAAGAGAGCACATGGCACAAAGATTAAAGAAAGAAGAAGGTCGAAGAGAGTTGTTGAGATAGAAGTGATCCTTGCAGTTCTGTGAGGTTTTGCTGATTGATCATACATAGGGCTGAACTCCATAATGACTGGAATTTTTTTTTTTGTCCTTTTCAGACAGCACTTTTAAACATCGTATTAAGAGATTCATTTGCCGCTCCCGAGAAAGATATTTTCCTAGCCTTGTTAAATTGGTGTAAGCACAATTCAAAGGAGAATCATGCTGAAATCATGCAGGCTGTGCGTTTGCCTCTGATGAGCCTCACTGAACTTCTGAACGTTGTGAGGCCTTCAGGACTGTTGTCTCCCGATGCCATTCTGGATGCTATTAAAGTTCGATCAGAGAGCCGGGATATGGACCTCAATTACAGAGGCATGCTCAGTGAGTACCTGTTTATCCTCATCTCCTGCAGATGTTTTCTCCCTTGTCTGACAGTCTTAGCTATAAAATGAGTTACAAAACTCTAGTTGAAGGCGTACGTGGTAAGTGTGGGTCTAAGAACATATAGTTTTGCTTTCTCTTGTTCTCTTCTTAATTCCCCCAGAGATTGTGGAGCCTTTGTAGACTCCAAAATAGGTATTTTTGCTATTCCTGGACAAATTTCTTTAGCTATTCCCTAGAATATCAGAAATAGAGACTTTCCTGAAAAGTGTCTTCTCATGCTAAGACCTTTCCTGCCTTCCTCCCTCAAATCAGCACTGAGTATGTGCTCTGTACTTATTATTATTTGAGGTACTGTGAACATAGAGATTCTAAATAGTAGTAATAGCTATTTTCAACACTTATGTGATTGTTCTTATTAAGAAAAGTAATAGCAATTATGAAGTGCTTATAAAGTGCTTGTATTATCAATAACAGTTCTACATGGTCATTTAAGTCTTACAACAGCCTTTTGAAGTAGGTACCATTATTGTCTCCATTGCACAGAGAGGTTAAGTAACTTGCCCAATGTCACACAGAAAGATGCAGAGCAGAGAGACAGACCTGTGTAGTTAGGCTGTGTAATGAACTACTACGTTATGCTGTGTAACTGCAAAATATAATCTCCACCTTTGATCCTTTTAATATCCTTGGGGATATAAGACATGCACTCCCATGAAAAGTTAAGTACAACCATGTTGAAAGTGAGTACATGTTGTGAACGTTGGAAGAGGATATGGCTTAGAAGGATTAAAGGAGATTTCATGGAGATTTTGAAGCCTGAGGTGAATCCTGACCTTGGATATTATGAGTGGCATCAGGGTGGATTGTGTTCCGAGGGGAGGAGTGGTTACGTTTGACAAAGTAGAGCATTTGAGAGACCGGGAATAGAAGAGGTGGACTAGAGCAGAAGGCTCGCGTTGATTAACAACAATGTCTGTAAAGGTCAGCTCTGCCCAAATCATGGAAGTCTGTCTGACTAGCTTGGGATTTTTGCTTATGCCCGACGAGCAGTGAATTTTCGAGAGGAAGGGATGCATGAGTATGATGATGGTTTTAAAAGTTTGATCCATGGTGCTGTAGTTGCTCATCTGGAATAGAGAATTGGTTCAGGGAGACCAGCAGGGAGGGTATTTGACCTGCACGAGGTTGATACAACTGTAAACTGAAGTGGCTGTAGGAAAGAGAGAAAGTAAGTATGTATAAAGGAGATATTATTCTAAAAAATTAGATCTTGGTGACTTAAGGGATATTAATTTGAGGATTAAGTTTAGGAGGAAGTTACCTTATTTTATTAAATCTAAGAAACCAGAAGTTCTTTTCTGTACCATTAAGAAAGAAAAGAGTACTGCCAGTTAAACCATGACACACTGTCATAGCTATATCCCAATTTCAGGAATGTTAAAATTTGAAAAAATATGTGTCTTAGAACTAAAGAAATTTAATAGTTGTTTGAAGATGCTGAGCTTGATTTTAGACTTAGCAAGTTTGGGGGTTTCTGGAACATCTAAGTACCAAGTTCTGTCCCATGTTAGTCATTTCCCTGAGTAATCTTTTCCTTGACCATGTTCTTACATTGTCTTCAATACTGATTCATCTTAAATAGGTGTCCTTAGTCTGGATTTCTGTCCTGACTCATCAGATTTAGATTTCTTTTCATTGGGGCCAGAAGAAAAAGTATTGGTTTTGGAGCCAGAAAAGTTTGACTTCAAATCCCAAATGAATTACTTATTAATTGTATGACCTGGCATTAAGTTACATAGGAATTTTACTGTTAGTCCTGTATTTCCTAGTACTGTTATGAGAATTAGTTGAAATAATTTGTGCAAATTATGTCTGGAAATTCAATCTAGGAAACCATTGTATTATCATTATTTGTGTTCTTCCTCCTTTCTGTATGTCTGTGTAGGAATTACCACATTGATTACATTGTTTTAAACATTTTTGTTAACTTATCTTTGATCCTTGAAGGCAGAGATGATCTTTGTAAGGTTTGTTGATCTTTGTATCCTCAACATTTAAGATGGCATATAGCATATAGCAGACATTTGGTGAATGAACACATAGGAGTAGCAGTGGAAGCATGTTACTGGCATTTAGGAAGCAATCGGAGCTGGTGAAGAAAGAGTTGAGTCCTGGACTAGAGTGTAGAGAAGGAAATAAAGCTCAGAGTCTGAGATTTGGAGAAAACCTGTAGACAGGGGCCTGAAGCTAGAGAAAGAAGAATTAGAGAGGTAGAGAAAAAATGGGGTAGGGTTATAGAAGCCGGCAGAGGAGAGAACTTTTATGCAGAGAAGGTAGTCGCTGGTATTTAGTGGTGCTGGGAAGTCAGAAGAATGAGAATTGAGAGAAAACTTTGGGATGTAAGTTGTAGTTGCTTGGTGAGTAGTCTGAGCAGAAGCTTGGCTAAATGGGGAATTAGGCATGGGTTTGAAACGATAGTAAATATAATATGTTGACCATCCAGTGTGAATTGGAGTGAAAGGCAGTAGAGAAATAGTATAGCAGCTAGAGGGAATAGCTCAAGAGAGATCTGGGAAGAGATTGGAGGTGCTAAAGAGTGGTCCTAGGTGAGAGGATGGAAGGTGGGGAGGTAACAAGATGAGTAATAGAATTTTGAAATTTCTGAATCCTCATTGTCAGATCTGCTTCATATAAGTTTCTTTTTCTCCCTTCTTGCCCTATCTTTGATTTGAGGTGTTGATAGGGCCCTACAACTGGATTCCTTATAGGAATAACCTTGGGACATTTTTTCAGGAGTGAGGAGGTGCTTTGGAAACTTCATTTAGTTAATGGTAGCTTAGAATTGACCAGCTGGTCACTGGAGGTGTCAGACCTGGGTTATAATAAAGCCAGGAGATTACCATGAAAGGGAGTACTCAACCAGCTGAGGCACACTCAGTTCTGGAATGACATATTTACTATAATTATTACTCATAAATGTTAAATTATTCATCTTGGCATAATCCAGTGGGATCTCAAGGAAGAGATTATATAAATGTCTGAGAATCTTTTATCTCACTTCTGAACTTGAGAAATGATTAAATAGCAGGCTGGTTTTCTGACTTTTTAACTATATGGGTAGTAAAATCCATAATATCAACTAAGGATGCATAGCACTTTCCTGTCAGCTCCTAAAAATATACATTAGTTATTCTCTAAGTAAATGTTATCCAGACATACCATTATTTTCTTTTATCACATTTCTTCTCTGTTAGGAATACTTGGCCTGAAATTTCAGAAGTCTTCCTGGATTGTTCCGGGAAAGGTAGTTATGCTTATTTTGAAACTGTTGACCAAATTTGTTGTTTCTTTGTTCTCCCCTGCATGTAGCTTCTGTTTCTTTGGGACTTTTCATGAACTGTGGAGAGGTTCTGTTCTGGATTAGGGACACCACAGATACTAATGCTTTTTCTTTGAGTTTATTAATATTAGTTACTGGAAGGTTCAACTCTTAGAGCTGCATATCCTGAGGATTTTAACGAAATTACAATTTTTTCCCCCTTAAAAAAAAAAGGATCCAAAGGATGTTTTAACTCACCAGTGATGGTTAGTCTTTCTGGGAAGGTGGTTTTGAGTAGCTTTGTACACACACATGGGGACAGGAATTAACTTTAATGAAATTATTTTTTTTCCGTAGGTATTTGAACAACTTACCGGTCCCTTAATGCTTAGTTTTATCTTAACTATGGAGGTATTTCTGCCTTGAAAGTTAGTGCTTTTTCTCTTCAGGCTGAGTAATACTTTGTTTTGTGTGTCTCAGATTTTAGACTCTGGGAAAGAGGACAGTATTGTTTCTTCATGTTTATAGCAGGGAGTATATCACAGCTTCCATTCTCAAGGTTTCTTTTTTTTTTAAGATGTTATTTATTTATTTGAGAGAGAGAGATACAGAGAGAGTATAAGCAGGGGGAGGAGCAGAGGGAGAGAGAGAGTGTCAAGCAGACTCCCCGCTGAGCATGGAGCCTGATGTGGGGCTGATCTGACCCAAAACCAAGAGTCAGTTGCTCAACCAACTGAGCCATGCAGGCACCCCTGAAACTTTAATATTTTTAAAACTCTTTGAGATATATGTTATTTATCCTCCCAGCTATAGTTGATAGTATCTTTGTCAGTAAACTAGGGGGTTCACAAAGAATCCCTCCTGAGCATTCCTCTGTGGAGGCGTTTTATGTTTGATACACACTTGTCTGTATGAGATGATGAGCTGCTGGAGGGTGAGTCCAGCATAGTCCGGCACAGAGAAGGCAGCTTAGAAATTTTTTTTTCTTTAAATATATAGGATGAAGTCCCATTCAGCTCTTAGAAGCTTTTAGTCTGTGATCTTTATAAGTAACTCGCCTAAAGTTACTGAGTGGAATTGAAGCCTGAGCTGGAACCAAAGTGCTGATCTGACTCACAAGGCCAGTGCTCTCCAACAGAGTCTCCTGCCTGGGTTATTTTCTGTTGGTGTTTTGTGTTTGGCATGTTTGAGCACGAGTACTGTCAAATGTGGAAAGGAGGCCTGCAGAGAGTGGAGATAATGGGGAGAGTTAGGGAAGACAGGGGTTGTCAAGAAAGCCCTTTGTAATGCTACACTTGTTGGATGGCCAAGCCACACATCTTCCAGGGAAGGCAGGTTGAGGAGTACAAGGTGATTTGGGGTACAGAAGTAGGTAAAGGTATGGCAGTGGGCAGATAACCAGGTGTGGCTCCAAATGACCCATCAGGAATGGTCAACTGTCTCAGCCTAGATGTAATAGAAAGTTCAACAAAGGGTGATTAAAAACATAACGCAATCAAAGGAAAACACAAGATAACTAACCTGGCACCAGATTTTGGCACTGTGTTGCTAGCGGCCAGTCCTACTCCATTTCTCCGTAGCTTTTCTTTCAAATAATGGCTTGTTTCTGCCTAACTATGGAACTTCAGAGCTTAATTTTTTTTTCATATTTGTAAAATGCATCCAAAATTACAAATGCAAAGAAAAGTATGGTTATCTGCTTGGTTGCTTAATCCCTAACACCCTGTATTTTTTGAGAGCCCTTTTTTCTAAGCTTTTTTTCTCTGAGCCCCAATACAGGCAGTAAGAATATTTATGGTTTGAGTTGTTTTATTATGACTTGAATTTTCTCATGATCACTTTGTTTCTTAAATTCTTCTTAAATTTAACTATAGGTTTTGTACACGCATGTGTGTGTGCACAGCACGCACACACACATGCATACACACACAAATACTTGGAGTTGTATTTTTATACCACGAGATACTCAGATTATAGTCACTATGAGAGAATTTCCACTTGTGTGAGTGTTTCCCATTTTAAAGTAAAAGATACTTTTGGGGGAATCTGTATCAAGAATAGTTAGAAAAGTTCTCAAGTGCTCTTGAAATAAACTTCAAAAGAAGACTTTAGACTTGTGGTAGCATTTCATTTGCATCTTAGACTTTCAGTTACACTCACTTGAAACCCTTGTGCCTGTGTGTTATTCCAAGCCTACTAAATTTTAGAGATGAAAAAGCTTATGTTTAGAGAAAATCAAAGGTTAGCAGCACTTTCTAAATCTGAAAGCTTGAGTTCCCCCTTTTTTGCTGTGGTCTTGACTAGTGGTGTCAGAACTGGTGGAGATAGTTCCAGCGGTCAGCAGTGACAGACTTTAGACCCTCCCATTTTATACCGAGTAGCAAGGGAACAGAGATCTCTTTTTACCAAGGGTTACACGTTACTGACACTAAAAAGTGTCAGTTGGGAGTTTCTGTTTGCTTGCTTTATGAAGTGCTTCATCTCTAGATTGGAGACATCAGGAGGGCAGGGCCCATCTGTCTCATTCTCTGAGGTATTTCCGTGGTACCTGGTACAGATTGAATCCTCCGTAAGTGTTTTTTAACTGAATGTTTTATATTTCCAGGACATTGTAGCATATATTTTCTGTAGTCTGATCTTTACAGTAACACAGAGGGTGGGTTGGACACAGTATTATTTGTAGATGAGAAAACATGCAGATTCAGAGACTGAGTGGCCTCAGGCAGAGGCAGTGTGCGGTAAAGCCAGAGTCTCAGACTTAGGTCTTCTCACTTTAAATACAACTCTCTTTGTTTTTACACTGTATCAGACTCTGTTTTTTCCCTCTGAGTCTCAGGCGACCTTTTAGGGAGGGGATTAGAGGGAGAGGAGTAAATACGGTCTTCTCCTCCAAAACCCTTATGATGGAGGTGGCAGACAGGGCTCCTGGAGGCAGACTGCTGGGTTCTAATCTCAGCTCTGTTACTGGCTGGCTATGTGACCTTAGGCACCAAAGTCCATCCACCCTTTCTCTGCACCTACTTCCCCATCTGTGAAATGGACATGTAATAGTATTTCACTCAAATGGTTGTGAGGAGTGAATCAAATGAATTAATAAGGTTTGTTAAATAAATGAGAAATGCATAATGAAGAATATGAGTACCATGAACTAATAGAACTCAGGAAGTTATAAACCTGTATCACATAAGCACAAAAGAGGTTGAACATGACTAGGTTTCATTTTGGTTTTTTTTTCTGAGTTGCCTTACCCTTTTGTGAGTTAAATAGACCTACTGCAGCCCCCATTTGTCAGCTGCATTTATTGTCATATTCTGGAATCATTCCCTTTACCTGGCTGCATCCAAAAAATGTTTTCAATTAATTTTTTCTTTTGTAAGAGACAGAGTGTGTGCGTGATCAGGGGGGCAAAGGGGGAGAGAGTGAGAGAGAATCCTAAGCAGGCTCCATGCCCAGCGAGGAGCCTGACATGGGGCTCAGTCTCACAACCCTGAGATCATGACCTGAGCTAAAAGCTAGAGTCAGACACTTAACGACTGAGCCACTCAGGCGTCCCTGAAAAATTTTTTATTAAAACCCACATTCTTCAAAAAGAAAAAACAAAAACCCACATTTTTTAAGAAATATGCAGTGATGAATTACTTACCCCCTTTCCCTAAGAGCCTAATTATAGCTCACACTTCCCCTATTTAAATCACATAGCCAAGATGTATACGTGCTGTGAGAATTCAGCATTTATTTATAGTCTGTAAACTTGCTTAGTTCTTTTATTGTGTTGTTTAGTATATGCTTCATAATAATTCTGATAATTTTTTTAGAGCTTACTGTGTGCATCTCATTTAATCCTTCCAACAAATAAACAAAAACACCCCGGGCTAGGTATTGCCCTCTTAAGAGACTGAGATTCAGAGAGGATAACGTCCCCAAAGTGGTTGGCCTGGTTAGAGGCATGACCACTGTTTGAACTCTGATCTGAAGCTCAAGCTCTTCACAGCTGGTTTTTGCTGCCTCCTGTCTCTCCATGGAGAGTGTCACTTAGAACGTTGGCACCTAGAGGGCAGGCTGTAGATCTGTGAGGCAAGCTTTGCATAGAGAACTTCAGAGTTCCAGAAACAACTGACACTTACAGTGTGGAAGAGGAGAAGAGGTTAATTACTATTATATATATAACATATATATTGTATATATGTGTTATATAAATAATATATATAATATATATATAAGGAATATATATATTATATATAATAACATATATAATAACATATATAACATATATTGTATATATATGTTAATTATTATTTTTATTTTTATTTATTATTTTTATTTATTATTTATTATTTCATTGTTTATATAAGTATTATATCATATATTATTATTATTTATGTATAATATATGATTATTATGTATTATAAATATTATAATATAGGAATAAAATAGTTATAACAAATACATAATAATTATAATAATTATATATAAATACTTATATATTATAATATTTATAATAAATATATAATAAATAATTATTGTATTATCTTTTACTTATATATAATTATATTTATATATAATAATTGTTATTTATTTTAATTATATTGTGTATATATTAATTATATAATACTAATTTTGATGACTGGCTGAATTTTCTTTTTTTTTTTTTTAATATTTTATTTATTTATTTTACAGAGAGAATGCAAGAGAGGGAACACAAGCAGGGAGAGTGGGAGAGGGAGAACCAGGCTTCCCGCTGAGCAGGGAGCCCAATGTGGGGCTCAATCCCAGGACTCTGGGATCATGACCTGGGCCAAAGGCAGATGCTTAACGACTGAGCCTCCTAGGTGCCCCTGAATTTTCATTTTTAAAATGCTCAAGTGAAGTAAAAATATACCTTCTTTTATATATATTATTCTTTTTTCGCTATATTAATTACTTCAGCATGTCCGCATATAGTCCATGTCCAGCAGCTCTGCTATATTGGAATGTGTCTTCTGTTGTTTAATCAGATATCTGGTCTGTCTGCTTTGCTTTTATATGTTGCAGTCAGTCCAAATGGTGGGTACAGGTCATCTTATATGCCAGTTTTGTCCAGTAGATATTAAATTAAAGCTACTAATCAGGGTACCTCGGTGGCTTAGTCGGTTAAGCGGCTGCCTTTGGCTCGGGTCATGACTCCCAAGTCCTGGGATCGAGCCCCACATCAGGCTCCTTGCTCGGTGGAGAGCTTGCTTCTTTCTCTCCCTTTGTCTGCCGCTCTGCTTACTTGTGCTCTCTCTATCTCTCTGTCAGATAAATAAATAAAATCTTAAAAAAAATAAAGCTACTAATAGAGTAAACTCAGAGCTGATTTGTTTGTCCTAGTACATGGCTTCCCCCCCCGCCCCACCTAGTATTCCCAGCTTTTTCTTAGTAACATTACTCTCAGGCACTCTGGCTTTCGTGGTGTCATTAAATTTAAACTGTGGATGGTATCTTAATCCTCACAGACATTCCACATCCTCTATCAGAGACAAGTCTCTGCCATTTTTAAATGAAATACATATAGTAGAATCAACTAGAATGCTAGAATTTTGTCCTTTTTCTCACAGTATAGATTAATTTACCAAGTAACCATTAACCTTGCTTTTTCTGTTTTTAACTGTAGTCCCAGAAGAAAATATTGCAACCATGAAGTATGGAGCCCAGGTTGTAAAAGGGGAGCTGAAGTCTGCCTTATTAGATGGCGATACTCAAAACTACGATTTGGATCATGGATTTTCCAGGCACCCAATTGATGATGACTGCCGTTCTGGCATTGAGATTAAGCTAGGTCAACCATCTATCATCAATCACATACGGATACTCCTGTGGGACCGAGATAGCCGGTGAGTGATTACTATGACATGGACAGAAAATGACATTATGTTTGATTGACTTGACCTAATTTTGGTTTTACAGATTTGGTGGTTTATTTCCTTCGGATCGTTTTGCTATTTCTCTTGAAGTTTAGTTCTGAGGGAAGAGTTAAAGGCTATATTCCTTTTAAAAAAAATGTCTTTTACTTTTTTTCTGCTTATAAAAATAATGAATAGTGTTTATCATGGAAAACATAGAAAATATAGAAAAGCACAAAGGAGAAAATAGAAATTGTTAGTAATCTCACTGGCCATTAGTAATCTTTGTATATATCTAACAAGTATATGTCTAACTAGTATTTATCTATCTAACTTTGTATATATTTGACTAGTTACCCACACATACACATACACAAAACAGAAACCACACATAGTTTTACAAAATAAAGATGAAATGTATAAAGGCTAACTTCACTTTGTAATTCATACATTGTGAGCATTCTGCTCTTTAAATATTCCTCTAGGGACGCTTTGGTGTGGTGCCTTGGTGTGGCTAGTGACTGCCTTCTGCTCAGGTCGTGATCCTGGAATCCCAGGATCCAGTCCCACATCGGGCTCCCTGCTCAGCAGGGAGTCTCCATCTCCTTCTGACCCTCCCCCCTCTTGTGCTCACGCGCTCTCTCTCTCTCTCATTCTCTCTCTCTCTCAAGTAAATAAGTAAAAATCTAAAAAAAAAGGTATTTCTCTAAATAAAATATTGCTCTACTATTGTTTATGGTTGTTTGGTATTCTGCCTTCTGGGTTAGCATTTTTTATTTACTTGATTCTTTACTTTCGAATATTATGACTTTTTAAATGCATTTTATCCTATGGATGAAGAAAAAAAATGTCTTTTAGTAGATTGATAAATAATCATCCTCAAAATAAAGGAAGTTTGTGAAAAATATTTGGTGGGCTCCAGCCTCGGAACCCACCCACTTTGTAGTGGCTTCAAGATTCTGCCTTTCTTGGGGCACCTCTGACACTTTTCACCCACTGTAGTTTCTAGGACTCATCCGTGACGCTAAGAAGTACCAGAGCAGTTGGGTGACCAAGAACTGTTTCTCTCATCACTGCCCATCGTTAACCTAAACCCTACATACCCAGAAACTGGTATAGTCTTTTAGGCCCTACTCATGCCTCTTTGAGTCTGGGCATGGAGGACTTAGTAGTAATGGTGATGATACCCTTGCATGGTAATTCATTTCTGTTAGCACCGCTGGCCACCACTTGGGTCTTTTAGGCCCTTTGAACCAAATACAAGGGAATCTTCATGAAGTGAGAGTCAGCATTTCTCAGAGGCACAGGTGTTCGAGGTCCCCAGGTTGTCTTTATCTGTTTCTCTTTATTAAGAATATATTTCCTAGGGGCGCCTGGGTGGCTCAGTGGGTTAAGCCGCTGCCTTCGGCTCAGGTCATGATCTCGGAGTTCTGGGATCGAGCCCCGCGTCGGGCTCTCTGCTCAGCAGGGAGCCTGCTTCCTCCTCTCTCTCTGCCTGCCTCTCTGCCTGCTTGTGATCTCTCTATCAAATAAATAAATAAAATCTTTAAAAAAAAAAAAAAAGAATATATTTCCTGATGGGCGCCTGGGTGGCTCAGTTGGTTAAGCAACTGCCTTCGGTTCGGGTCTTGGTCCCGGAGATCAAGTCCCGCCTCGGGCTCCCAGCTCCACGGGGAGTCTGCTTCTCTCTCTGACCTTCTCCCCTCTCATGCTCTCTATCTCTGTCTCTCAAATAAATAAATAAAATCTTAAAAATATATATATATATTTATTTTCTGATATGTATCTTATTGGATATAATATATGTTTAATTGGCAAAATGGAGCTAATTCACATATCATTTCCAAGAGTCTCTGGGTTAATAATAATGGTATAACAATAATTATATAGCACTTTCATTACTTTTATGTGGTGTAGGTACTGTTCTCAAAGTTTTACATATATTCACTCATTTAATTAATAGTGAAATTAGTATAAAGATAACAGAAGAAAAGGTTAGTATGTTTCAGACTGAAAGTAGTTATCGTTTCCATGATGTTAAATATTTATAGGCCACTTTGTTTTAATGCATGCATTACATTCACAGGGGACTTAACCACATAGCAGTTCTTTCTTCACAGAAGTTGTTATAATTCTAAGCAAAGGTGAAAAATTCAGAATCTTAAGCCCAAAAGATCCTGACATGTGTTGTAAAATTAAATCCTGCATTACTGATAACCCAGAGAGGTTCAATAAAAGGTTATAACCAGTTTGAGACTGAGCGACAAAATGAATGGGAGTGAGGGGACAGCAGAAAATGAGGGGATGACACAAAATAAGCTGACCTTTTCTGATCACAACTGTTGGTTGCAGTCTGACATTTATGGTCACCTAAATCTTCTGAGATTGTTCCTGTTGATATTACAGTACAAGTAATAACTGCATCTCAAATTTAAATTTGGCTTATGACAGGGGAATATAGATTTGTGCAGTATGGGACCAGCATCTAATGGTCCAGCATAGCGGACTAGGGGAGGATGATAGGCTATTTTCATTACTGCCAGATTATTAGTTGCCAAATTCTACGTTGTACCCAAAAGAAACACATATTATCTCTACACCATGTCATTTATTTTTCTTCAGGCCACATATTTGTGTGGGATGGTGGGAGACTGAGAGGGAGCAGGAGATAAGCTGGCCTTCCTGGGGGACCATTCTGAGTTGGCTATCCTGAGGGAATAGGGCTGGACACCCAGACTAGGAAAGGTAGAAGGAGAAGGCACACCTCCGGCTCCTCAATTTTGTGTCCTCTCTCTGTCATGGCTTTATGAATCTGCTAATACAGCAGGAGCAAGGCATCCTCGCTCTGTTTGGAAAGGAACAATTATCTTGCATGCTGGATATGTGCCAAACAGGGTGCTGGGCCCTGAACAGATGAAGATAAATATGGCATGCTCCTTGTTCTTAAGCAGCTTGCAATCCAATAAGGCATACAAACGTGCAGAGAGATAAGTTCAGTGCGTTGTGGTACATGCTACGATAGTGGGTCTATACAGATTTTATTATTATCAGGATTTGACTGTTATACAGGAAGTTCTGATAATAATTTGATTATTATGCAGAAAATGCAATTAGCAAACTGTGTATTTTTTTTGCATCTTTTAACGTTTTATTAAAGTATGACTTGTTTTTGTTATTTTAATATGGTACTTTTTTCTGCGTTTTTCCTTTTGATTCACAGGTCTTACTCATACTTCATTGAAGTGTCAATGGATGAACTTGATTGGATTAGAGTGATTGACCATTCGCAGTATCTATGTCGTTCTTGGCAAAAGTTGTATTTTCCAGCCCGTGTCTGCAGGTTAGTTCTCATGGCTAATTAATGATTGTGATGTTTTATTTAAGGAAATGTGAACCTTGAGAAATGGGCTATATTTTTTTTTGTCTCAAAGAAGACTTTTTCGGGTTATCAGCTACCAAATGCATCCCAACTAAAATCTTAGGGAAAATATGAAAACAAAGCATCTTAATTCTAGAGTATATTGTGGAACTGTTTATCCAGTGTTTTGTCCCATACGTATGCCGGAGACCTTCCGTGAACAAGTAGGGAGAGAGCACAGGAGAAGTGGAGATGCTCTTTAAGCTCCAAGCTAGACACTGAAAGCAGAGTGATTGTTAGGGGCTGCGTTCTTCCCACGAAAGCCATGGGAGATATTTCTGGAGGCTTCCATGGTAGTTCTCAGAGCCAGGAGGAGATTCTTGGATGTTAGTGTGCACATTCTGAATATCTGTGTTCTTTTTCTAGGTCAGTGCTTATCAGCAGAGCTTGCCAGAACAAGTGTATCTATCTAGTGGGTTGGGTTTGGGGCAGGGGAGGTTGAGCTGCTGGGGCTCCAGGCTCGCAGCCTCCCTTCAACCAGAGCACCTTAGCTTTTATTGTTGTTATGCATTGTGGCCCCATGGAAGGTTGTTCTTAAAAATTGTTGGTGAGCTACTGTTCTGTGTGCATATATATATATATATATATATATATATATATATATATACCTATAATTATATAGGTTTTATAGAATTTCAGAAGGTTTAAACCATCTTTTAAGCTTTCTGAAATTCTATAAAACCTATACAATTAATGAATTTGGGAGGGGAAAGATAGTTAGAGGGGCCTGGAATTTTGCTGTTTTCTTTTTTTGTTTTTGTTTTGTTTTTCCTGTTGTAATTTTTCCCTTGGAAATTGCCCTCGGGTGTTCCTTAAAGTCAAAAGAAAAAAGGCAGAGAATGATTGGTTTGTCTAGACCAGTGTGGCAAGAGGAGAAGAAAAGGTGTATGGTGGGTGTAAACCAGGGACAGTGTGGGTCTGGCTTCTTTACCCCCTCCTGTCCCCACCCTCATCTATGACCCCAGCTGACCTCCCACTGTGGCTGTTTTGGAGCAGATGGGGTTGCCCCACGGCACTTAGTCTCTTGGTCAGAAGACATCCTTATACTTAGTAAACTTACGCTCTAACAGCATCAGGCTGAATTCTTACCTCTATCAAGGAACTCCACAAAAACTTTCAGCGTTCTGGTACAGTAAAGAATGTCGCCTACATTTTTTTTTATTATGGGTATGGCTGGACACAATATTGTTACCCAGGGATCCTCGTGTGTGAAAAAGAAGAAAATCAATTTCATTTCCCCAAAGAAAGACTGAAGTGTTGCAGGTCTGGCAGTGGCTCTTTTATCAGAGGAGTTTTGAATGGATTAAAATGAGAGGGACAAGAAATTGAGTGAAGATTTCGTATCTCAGAGCTGCCTAGGGATATTTTGAGAGTAACACGGGGGACCCATCTTGGAGGAGGAGATTGAGCCTGCATTGACTCACGTTACTATGATTGTATTGGATTAAAAGATAAGCAGCATAGCAACCAAAGCATCTGATGTGGACTGAAGGACTGTGTTTGCAATTTGAAACAAGAGGAACATGGCTCCGAGAACAAATCACCATGAATATAATACTAGCCATGACAGAATCTGTGAGCTTTACCCACTCAGAAACCCCTACCATATGGAGGGGGATGTGTGTCCTCAGTCATGATCTCTGGCTTTTACAAGTTATACCGTCCCCGTATTTACTAATGGGCAGTATTTATACTTCCCTTTTGTTATTTTGTCTCTACCATGTGGCCTTGCTTTTGTTGATGTAACTTTTATGTCTTGTAGAGGTCGGTGTATTGAAAATGCTCATTTTGGTTTTGGTACAGCCAGTTCCCAACCCTGGTGGAGAAAATTAGAGCAAAGGTGATGTTAGAGATAGCGACAAGAAAAGGAAAGAGTCTTGATAGCCATATTAAGAAATAAAATTAAAGAGATTTATAACCACTTTAACATATATTACTACATTCCTTTATAAACTCTGCCTTTTGTAAACGGTTGGGATTTTGGTAGTATTTTAAAATGAACCTAAGAGTAAGTCTCAGTTGATTTTCCAAGGATGTCCTATACTTGGTGTTTCTTTTCTTTTTTTTTTAAAGATTATTTATTTATTTATGTATTTATTAGAGAGGGAGTATGAGCAGGGGGAGGGGCAAAGGGAGAGGGAGAGAGTCTCAAGCAGACTCCATGCTGAGTGTAAACCCCAACACAGAGCTTGAGCTCATGACCCTGAGATATGACTTGAGCCAAAACCAAGAGTTGGTCGCCCAGCTGACCACCCAGGCTCCCCTAGGGTGTTTTTTATCTTCACAATCATTTATTGCCTGACTAAACAATGTTCTAAATACACATTTTCCAGGGACTTCACTGGGCACATATACATTCTTTCTCTTTGCCTTATTTAGTTAATTTGTACATTTGTATGTCACCTTTGTTTTTCAGTATCCTTTGAGTATTTGTCTTGTCTCTGATACTAAAATTACAACTTCTTGGAAATAAGGAGTAGAGATTGTGATCTTTTAGTATTCTTGGGTGGTACTCAGGCTATGATCTAGTATGTAGTAGGTGCTCTATAAATGTTAGCACAGGCTTCCTGGGGTCAAGGCACTGACTGTATAATGAGGAGAGATCGATTCAGCATTAATATGTGTATATATTCATTGGTACTTTTGATCCATGTATTTGCTAAAATGTGTATCCGTGCTAGAAAGGTCTCAGGTACATTGTTTGCAAAGGTAATTTCCTATATTTTCATGAGGAAGCCGAATTTTGAGGTTAATCCTGAAGGATGTATCATTATCGAGGAAAGATTACATCAAATATATTCACAAGAGAAGAGCGACACTGTGAGTTGGGGAGTGTGAGATTACCTAGCTCTCTCTTGAGTCTTGGCTGGATTGCATATACATTAGCACTGGGTTGTGAAAAAAACAAAAAATAAATAAAAGAAAACCCCACGGTCTATGGAGTTAGAGCTCTTCTCACTCTCTGGTTTCATTGAATCCTGGCCTGGTGATCTTAGTGAAGTTGTGCCTCTCCAAGCCCTTGTTTCTACACCAGGAAAAACAGAAATAACAACACTGTTTAGGAGTCTGCCGTAGAGGGTTTAGATGACAGAGCGTGTGTATGAACGTTGAGTACAGTGCCTGGCCCAAAGTAGAGGCTCATAAGAACCAGTGGTTTTTATTTTTATTGTTTTTTGTTTTTATTATTTTAAAATTGTTGGTATTATTATTATTTTTATTTTTTTCTAAATTTTGTGACTCTCCACTGGCATTTGACCTTCAGAGAAAGAGTCATTCTTGCCATTGTCTTTGGCCATGGTGGCGCTCACTGTGAGGAAACTGTTCCTGACCTCAGGAGCCTGGTCTCCCCGACATGTTTTCAGATTGCCAGTCAATACACAGCAGTCTGAAACATGCCTTAAACAGTACACTCCATCTTCATAACCTGGTAGTGATGTGTTCCCAACAGTTGTAATTTGGTAAAGCATTTTTTTTTATTGTAGCAAAATATACATGACGTACAATTGGCTTTTTATATATCTGTAGAATGTAATTCAGTCTGCACTTCACCTCATTAAGGTAGTGGACCTTATCCAGTGGCAATAGATAGGATAACGTCAGGCTTCAAAGCGAGAGTGATTGCTCCAGCTGTAATAATGGTGAGTGGACAGAAATGATCTGCTCTGTCTTCCTGGGTCCGGTTTAGGAATGCGTTGGGAGGTTAGTTGGGGACTGCTCTATGTAGCCAAAAGCCTAGACTAATAACACACCCCGCTCAGCCCCCTCCTGGGGATGAAGAAAATGGACTTGTCCGTGTTAGTATAATCTTTCTTAAGCACTCAGAATCATGTTATGTCTTAGCAGCTTTCTCTTTCTTAGGAAAAGGCCATTTCTGCTTCACCTTTACATTGTCTTGTGTATCTAGGAAGCTCTCTTCAAGCCCTTCCACTGCCTTTCACGGCTTTCCTGGATGCTGGAGCCCAGGGCTGAACAAAAAATACTAATCGGGAGTGGCAAATATGGAGTGCCCTGGGGGTGTTTTAAAACACTGTCTGGCTGCTTCTCAACAGAGTGCTGGTAATTTGGCAGCCATATAATGTTGCCGAAGTAGGAGACTTGAAAACACGTGTGTGAGGGGTGGAGGTGGATTTTCGAGCCTGCAGGTGGCTGGTAGCTGGAATCAGAAAAGTAATTGTGGGGCAAAACCCGGGAGTTGAGGAAAGGAATCCCACCTGAAAGTGCAGCCCTCAGGGTGTGCCTGTTGAGAGAGGAAGGAAAGAGTAGATGGCAGACACCTTTGCTGCAGGGGCTGGGCAGGGACAGGAGAGCAGTCACTGAAGACAAGGGACAGGAGGGATGGCCACTGTTCACACAAGACTAAGCTTCTGTCTTTCCTTTTGTTTTTAACTACCATCATGGAAATGTCTTGTTCTTGACATTTTTATTATCAAATTATAATGTGGGACATTTTAAAATCTCGGTAAAGCTTGTCCTCTGGTAAGGTTGTATCCAGTTCCTACCAATAGCACATGAAAATGCTCTTTCTCTGAGCCCTTAACCAATGCAGGCTTGTCAACACGGCCAATGTGAGCTATGATTTGTTAAACAAAAACACACACACACACACACACACACCCCCAAAACCCTTATTTTAATTTAGATTTATCATCAATGAAGTATAGTATTGTTTAATAATGACCATTTGTTCTTTCTCATTTATGAAAAGCCTATTTTAGTCTTCTGCATATTTTTCTCCTGAGGCATTTATCTTTTTCTATCTTATCAGAACTTTATTTTGGTATATTGATATATACACACTGAGATAGATCTAGATATGCCATTGTTTTGCCCGTCATGTGTTGTGCAATTTGTTTTTAGTTTTTAGTGTTTTACTGGTACTTTTTGCCATATGGAATTTTACTTTTTAAAAAATGTAGTCCAGT